TGAGAGGCAAAAAAGACGTATTCACTTCACTCATACACACTCATGGATTCTACAAGGTATGATGCACATTTCCTTCAATAAATTGTATCGAGAACGGGAAGAGCCATAAACGAGTTTGATAATACAGCGGATATTGATAGAAGATATTATCGTGAAGCAGTTCGAAGAAGGCCAACATTTAATCTTTAATATTGTTTAATTGGTCAATTTCAATTCCATATCTGTGAACGTTACAGTATTTGAGTTTATTCTGAAGTTGCGGCTCGACTTGCCTCAGATAATTCATTTGAAATTTTAACGGAAAAGATAATTTTCGCAGTTTCCTATTAGTATCTGATTATTCTACTAATTGATTGTTGACTTGATTATTAGATATTATTTTTCATTGCAATGCCTGAACTAGGAGAAATTGCGAAGATTTCGCAAAATATTACTAGTAGTTCTTTTCAAGCTGTTAAGGCTCTACATGTAATTGCGTATGGTAATGAGGGAGACAGTAGAAAAAGGCGAAGAGCGTTACGCGTTTTTGCTGGTTTCGGTTTAGACCAAAAGTCTGCGGAATATGCGCAAAAAGTGAACGAGGTGAAACAAAATGTGCAGTTGCCTGATCTCATTGCCGTGTGTAATATACTAGATCTTGATTATTCGGGTAGTAGTGATGAAGTGGTAGAACGCATTTGTTCCTTTATGAATGACATACGAATACATAGTGAAGAGAAGTTGGGAGAAGATGAAGTGGAAAAAGATGAGTCAGAAGAAGAAGAAGAAGACGTTGAAGGTGAGAATAGAATTGGATGTAATCAGAATAGTGAAGCTATTCGAAATACAAAAATGACGGGTTCATTCTCATTGACATTTAGAGATGTTGAAGACAGTATTAGGTCATTTGATGGGAAGGATAATTATCCAGTTAGAAAATGGATAGAAGATTTTGAAGAAATATCTGAGTTAATAGGATGGAATGAACTACAGAAGTTGATATTTGCTAAAAAGTCATTGACGGGACTTGCAAAGCTTTTCATTCAGTCGGAAAAAGGTATCACGAAGTGGTCAATTTTGAAAAAGAAATTGATAGACGAGTTCGAAGTGAAAGTGAGTAGTGCTCAAATACATAAATTACTAATGACTAGAAAAAAGCGGAGAGATGAACCAGTGCAGGAGTATGTGCTGACTATCCGAGAAATTGGCAGCAGAGCAAATATAGAGTCAGAAGTTTTGATTCAATACATCATTGATGGTATTCAAGATGACATGTCAAATAAAATTGTTTTGTATGGAGCAAAAAGTTTTTCAAAGAAAAAGTGAAGTTATATGAACAAATTAAAACCGTGAAATCATCGCATGGGTCAGAAAGGTATCAAGAAGGTAAACCGAAGAATGATTGGAGAAGAGAAACTAAAGATAAAGAGGAAAAGAAGTACAAAAGAAAAAACACGGGACATTGCTTCAACTGTGGAGTCAGAGGTCATTTGTCAAATGAATGTCCTGACAAAGCCAAAGAAACGAAGTGTTTTGTATGCTCTGGTTTTGGTCATTTATCAACAAAGTGTCCAGAAAAAAACAAGGGAAGTGGAAGTTCTAATATGACTATAGTGGAAGTGGTACCTAGTAACAGTGTGAAATTGATTTTATGTAATATTCAATTGATAGCACTCTTAGATACAGGGAGTGATATAAAGTGCGATACGACAGGACGTGTATGAGGCATATTTCAATGGAATTGTTCTGAATAAAGAATACCTCATTCTAAGAGGTATTGGATAGAATAGAGTGGCAACAATTGGGTTTTTCGAAAGTGACGTCATTATAAATGGAGAAGAATTAACTCTTCGTATCCATGTTATACCTATTCAAGCAACAACTTTCAAGGCAATCATAGGGAATTATGTTTTACTTCAAGCGAATGTTGTCTTCAGAGAAGGAGAAGTTGTTCTTTTCAAAAAAGAAAAAGATAATTATTTGTTGAATATAACTGTGGATGAAGAAGATAGAAAAGATACCGATATAGTAGATGTGAGTCATATAGAAAATGAAGAAATTCGAAAAGAAGCTAAAAAGTTGGTAGGGGAGTATCATCCGGAGAAGAAAATAGACACAGATGTAAAAATGAAGATTATATTGAAGAATGAAGAACCAGTATATCAATGTCCAAATTAGCTATACCAGAAAAACAGGAAGTTGAGAAACAGATAGGAGAGTGGCTGAAAGAAGGAATAATACGACGTAGTTCATCTGATTTTGCTAGTCCAATAGTTCTTGTCAAAAAGAAAGATGGCAGTACAAGAATATGTTGTGACTATAGAAAGTTCAACAAACATATTGTGAAAGATAGATTTCCTCTACCGCTAATCGAAGATGTTGTGGATAGATTACAGGGTGCTACATACTTCTCCACCATTGATCTGAGGAATGGATTCTTTCATGTGGGAATAGAGGAAGATAGTATTAAATATACTGCATTCGTCACACATCACGGTCAATTCGAAAACCTGAAATGTCCTTTTGGTCTATGCAATAGTCCAGCGGTATTTCAGAGATTTGTCAGTACTGTTTTCAGGAATTTGATGATGGAAGAAAATATCATGCTTTATTATATGGATGATATAATAATTATGAGCTCCACAGAAGAAGAAGGATTAGAAAGATTGAGGAAAGTTATGAAGGTTGCAAAAGACTACGGATTAGATATTAAAAAGAAAAAATGTCAACTGCTGAAGAAAAAAATTGAGTTTTTGGGATTTATTATTGAAGGTGGAAAAGTTCAACCCTCGAATGGAAAGACTTTGGCGATCAAAAATTATCCACAACCGACGAATCTCAAGCAATTTCAATCGTTTTCAGGTTTGACAGGATATTTTCGCAAGTTCATTGCATCTTATTCGATTATAGCGAAACCTTTGAGTGACCTTTTGAGAAAGGAACAAGAGTTTAATTTCGGAGAGAAACAGAAAGAAGCGTTCGATAAACTCAAGGATTTGTTATCCAGTAAACCAGTATTGCATATTTACGAGCAAAGTGGAGAAACGGAGTTACACACCGACGCGAGTAAATACGGCAACGGAGCTTGTCTGATGCAGAAGTCACGTGAAGATAGTAGGTTCCACCCAGTATACTATATGAGAAAAAAAAACGACTCCAGCTGAAGAAAAATACAATAGTTATGAACTGGAAGTTTTGGCTATCATTCAAGCTGTCAAAAAGTTTCGTATATATTTACTTGGAATAAGATTCAAAATTGTAACTGATTGTTCAGCTTTTCAGAAGACGATGACAAAGAAAGATTTAACAACTAGAGTTGCTAGATGGGCTTCATTATTGGAAGAGTATTCATATGAAATCGAACATCGAAAAGGAAACAGAATGTCCCACGTAGATGCATTGAGTCGTTTTTCAGTTATGACGATGACGAAGACTTTGATCGAAGGAGACGGTGTAAAAGAACGACTCAAACGGGCACAGGGAACTGATGAGCACATAATAATGATAAAGAAGATATTATGTAAGGAGAATTATGAAGACTTTTTCATGAAGAATGATATACTCTACAAGTATGAGAATGGAAGAGAATTGATAGTAGCTCCCAAAGCGATGCAGACTGACATAATCAAAAGAGCACACGAAATTGGACATTTTGCAATTTCCAAGACAGAAGAAATAGTTAAGAGGGAATTTTACGTTCCTAAACTGAAAGAAAAAATTCAGAAGTGTTTAGAAAATTGTATCCATTGTATATAGGTAACAGAAAGGAAGGAAAAAAAGAAGGGATGTTGCACCCGATACCTAAACAAGAAGGACCACTGCATACATATCATGCTGATCATTTAGGACCGATGCCTTCAACCAATAAGAATTATCGTTACATACTAGCAATTGTTGACGATTTTTCTAAGTTTACCTGGCTATACGATTGCAAATCGACAACAGCAAATGAAGTAATCAACTGCTTTAAGAAACAGCAGCAGGTATTTGGCAACCCAGCGAAAGTTGTGACGGATAGAGGAACTGCCTTCACATCTGAAGAATTTGAGGACTATTGTGTGCAGGAAGGAATAAAACACTTGACGATAACCACAGGAGTTCCAACGATGCAGGAATTCAATAAATATAGAGACGATCTCAGAGCAGAAAGTAAGAAACAGATTTTGAAAGTACAGGAAGAGAATCGAAGAACATACAATAAAAAGCGGAAAGAACCGAGGTCTTATGAGTTAGGAGACTTGGTGGCTATTAAGAGAACACAATTTGGAGTTGGAATTAAAATCCACAGAAAATATTTAGGACCATATGAAATTACAAAGACGAAACCCAACGATAGATATGACGTTGTCAAAGTAGGTCATCACGAGGGGCCAATGCGTACTTCCACTTGTGTAGAATTCATGAAACCATGGGTGGAAAATCAAAGTGAATCCGAGTCGGATTCTGAGTAGGATGGCCGAGTGTAGGAATTTATATTTTCATTTTGTTTATAATAATTATATTATATTGTTTGCATTGAATTTTATTGTTTCTCCTACGGTGAATTTATATATCACTCGGTGTTTCAATATTCAGTTAGGATTACGTATTATCGAGAATGATAGTGGTATCCAAGGTTAAGAAAGAATAAAAAGAAAGGGGCAATTCCGAGAGACGTTCGGAATATACTATTTATAGAAGTTTTGGTTGAGATATTGAAGAAACCCATAGCTAAATACTAGTAACAGACGAATAAAGACGTGGGGAGCATCTTAGTCGAGCCGCGACGGACGTAAAGAGATCCTTGAGAGGTGAGCAGATCAAGCTCAATATTGTGACGTACTGTCAGTGTTCCTGTGACATTGGTTGTCCGAATAAACACTTTCACTTACCCCCTTGGACTATCATTCACCCTAGACAACATAAAAATCCTACATAAATTAACCCTCAGTTACATCAGTTCTTGTCTATCTAGTTCAAAACCAGGATCACCTTCTGCCAAATAGGTAGTAATACAGGTATAGGTAAGTATATAATAAGTATATATTTGTCATAATATATTACTATTATTTCATTATCTGTAGGAAATGTGGATATTCACGTAAAATATATAGGTAGATATATTTACTACTTTCAATTCATATCACAATAGTCTTTGATTTTATACATGGTTCAATAACTCTATCACAACATATTTTACAATAGGTAGCTCATGAAATATAGCTGCAGACCATCCCCATTATTTTTCAACAATCACACATACCATAATATTTATAAAATATAGATAGGTAGGTACCTACCTAAATGTACAGTTCTGTACAACATTCTACTACTAACTATGCAGGTAACCTATCTGACATCAGCCATAAATATGACTGTATTGATTGTTTGGAAATGTCCAGTTGTTTTCAGCTTTGTTAACAATGCATCAGTAAATAACTACATTTGAAATTTCACATGACTATTTCCTTTACTAAACTTACCACTCAGGTATGTATCAAAAAGTAGATGGTCAAACACTAAAAAACAGACAAGCAAAGATAACTCCAATGAAACTTGAAAACAATCTGGAGGCACTTGACTGTTGTACTTTGGAAGCTTCGCCGATATCAGTAGTGTGATTCATATGCTCCTGAGTCATTTGGTCATGGCTCATATGATTTTTATCCATGTTGCTGCTGTTCGGTTCTGCAGATGGTTCAGGTTCCGCAGACGGTTCAGGTTCTGCAGACGGTTCAGGTTCTGCAGACGGTTCAGGTTCTGCAGATGGTTCAGGTTCTGCGGATGGTTTAGGTTCCGCAATTGGTTCAGGTCTTGCAGATGGTTCAGGTTCTGCAGATGGTTCTGGTTTTGCAGATGGTTCTGGTTCGGCAGATGGTTCTGGTTCTGCAGATGGTTTAGGTTCCGCAGATGGTTCTGGCTCTGCAGATGATTTAGGTTCCGCAGATGGTTCAGGTTCTGCAGTAGGCCCTGGTTCTGTCGTGGGTTCTGGTTCTGCGGTGGCTTCTGGTTCTGGGTTCGGTTCTTTGGTCGTTTCAGGCTGCTCCTTGTGTTCTGGTATAGGTTGGGGAATCAGATAGGGATCATTGTCTGACGCTGGCAGTACATCAGGATCTGCTGATTCTGTTCAAAAGGAAACATAAAATTTTACTTCGAAATAAATGTATTAAATTTAAACTCTTAGAAGGCTCATTAGGTATTTGGTAGTATACGTCCATGTTATCGAATGATACCATTGAAGAAATATAACAAACAAAATAAGATTCGGGTCAAGATCACCGACATAACTTTACTAACTATAGACCGCTATACAGGGTGGCCAGACAGGTCATGTCGGCTGATAGAGTGAGCGAAAATGATATTAATTCTTCATATAAAACAACGTCCATCGCGCTTCGTTAAGGAGTTCGATCTAGGTAAACCGCTCAGCCGAACAGACCAGACTATTTATTAGAATATAAATATACAGGTACAGGGGGTGTATCAGCACAATCGAGAGCTTTATATACTAGTGTCTCCACCGACTTATAGACTATGGTCATCAAACGGCGACATTTTTTCCATTTTTTGAATTCTACATGACATTTATTTGTATTGTTTACTGACGTCTAGTTTTGCAAGAAAGCGTATTATCTAAAAATCGCAAGAGTTCATTTTCATATTTTGGCGAATGAGCCCGAGTCCAAAGCGATATAGGATATTGAGGTGTGTTGTTATGGCGACGGGATGTATTCGCAGTACAATCTCCGCTCTGCAGTGCAATTACCGCTGAAATTTCACGATAATTGCATTGCTCTTATGAGATATTTTATATATGAGGGGAATATTCTTTGTAATTAATTACCATCTGTAGGTGTGCTCGTGGTTATATTGGGATCCACATTATAATCGTATCCTTGGTCATAGAGGTAGCTTCGGCCGCCCGTATAAGAGCTTATGAGTCTGAAATTGGCCTCGGAAATGTTCAGTCGGTTGTACAGGAACCTGTCTAGCCTGTTGACCAGCACGGTGATGTTTCCGCTTTGGTCGAAAGTAAAGGAGTTCGGCCATTCCAGGAATCTTTGGTCCCGAGCGATCAACCTCTGGCCGGACTGGAATGGTAAATGGGTGTCCCATTTTGCTATGCTGTTGGTGCCTAGGAGGGTGTAGTACAAGGTTCCTTTGTTGTCCATGACCATACCTGGAAACAATGTGATAAGCATCTTAGATGTGATATTCAAATAAAAATTTCATTACATTTTTTTATAATCAGATTATTTTTATTCTATTTTCTCTAGAGAATTTTTATATTCAGTTAAGTATTTATTCAGTTAATATGACAGTTAATATGACAGAGCACAAGAGCACAATAGGAAATGTGTGTAAAAATATAGCATTAACGTAATATCAGTTACAAACATAATATAGTAGCTGGGGATACAAATTTATAGAGAAGGAGATGCCACCTAAGCAAGCTTGTGTTGTGGCATCATCGTTCTCATTATATGGATACAATTCATTGGATGGAAAATGTAGACTAGTTCAACGAGAGCAAACATGTGTGGCCATAAATAAATGTTTTCCAGTATACCATTTAAGCAATCAAAACTATTCTTCATAAAACATTTCAATTTTGGTTTAATTTTTTTGATACTGGTAACATTCTTCAATTCAGAGGGTAATTGATTATAAAGTTTGGGTCCAATATATGTTACGAATCTCTGATTATGACGAAGTCTGGCAAAGGGGACATCAATATTCTGGTTTAAGTTGAGGCGGGTGTTATGTGGGTGTGTTTTAAAATTCAAGGGTGTGTTCATAATCCACAGGAGACAATGATAAATATAAAGTTTATTCACATTAAAGACATCCGCTTCTTCGTACAATTTCGTGGTGGAGAATCTTTTATTTTTCTTGTTAGATAAAAAGGGAGTTGCTGGGAAGGTATTGTGGAATAGATAAACTGCGTGTATCAGGAACTTTACTAAAAAGGACTTCACTATGAAATACTGATGATATATTAATAATAAAATACAGACGTTTATATCAAGAAGTGAATGACGTTTATGTCAATAACTTTGTTAAAGAAAACTGCGTATCGTATACCGAAGGTTTACTAAATGATATTTTGTTCAACACTTTCCCTCGATACGTAGTTGGCATCATGAAGTATTGGAGGATGACCAAGGCCCAGTAGGTAAACACATTTCAGGTGCTTTGGCCTAGGTAGTCCCTTCGTCAGTAAATCGGCAACCATATTCTCGGTGGAAATATAGTCCAATTTCAATTCTTTTTTCTGAAGTGCTTCTCGTATGAAGTGGTGCTTGATATCGATATGTTTGCTTCTAGCGTGGAAAACTTGATTATCAGCAAGCTTTAGAGCAGATTTATTATCATTATGTACCACAACGTCGGTAAGCTCCTCAAATCCCAATTCTTCAAGGAAACGACGCAAATATATTGCTTCTTTTGCAGCATCAGTCAATCCCATATATTCGGCTTCGGTCGAAGATAGGGCGACTGTCTTCTGTTTCTTCGCCTCCCAAGATATTGCATATCCGTTGAGAAGAAAGACGTATCCCGTAAACGAACGTCGATCAATGGTTGAATTCGCCCAATCCGCGTCAACGAATGCTTTCAATCCATAATTTTCTGGCTTGTAAACTAGACCCAAATCTACAGTTCCACGTAGATATCGGAGTACACGTTTTGCTGCAGTCCAATGGACTTCTCCGTAGCAGTTGTTGAACTGACTCAAACAGCTCACGGCAAAACTGATGTCAGGTCTTGTTGTGACAGCCAAATATGTTAGAGCTCCGATAAGTTCTCTATATGGGTAACTAGGTTCTTCATCTGAATGAGGGTTGCCATTTTTCTCCAATTTCACGTTGGGTTCCATGGAAGTGCTCACTGGGTTCGATTCAATCATTCCAAATCGATTCAAAATATCGAAAATATATCTTTTTTGATTCATGGATAATACGTTCCCTTTTCGATAAAATTCCACACCCAAACAGTAACTAACTTCTCCCAGACTCTTGATTTCGAATATCCCTGATAAGTATTTTCCAAATTCGGTTATATCATCTACATTCCTGGAGGCTACCAATATATCGTCTACATAAATCGCTATCAGCATCAATTCTTTCCCTTTATGTAAACGATATAGACATGGAACAGCATTCGTTGGATTTGCTCCGAATTCTTTCAAAATTCTGTCTAATTTTTCATGCCAACATCTTCCTGCTTGCCGAAGACCATAGAGAGATTTCTTGAGTAGACAGACTCTTCCTCCCTTCTTCATTTCCATAAGCATCTTTTCAGCTTTCCCATGAATTTCATTTTGATTTTCTTCGTCGATGATTCTTTCCAAAATTTTACAAAGAAGCTTAGGTGGTTCTATGAAAATTTTCCGATCTATTTCGCCATTCAGATAGGCAGTCGCTACGTCGTACTGATAAATCTTCATTTCATAACCAACAGACAGGGAAACAAGTATTCGTATGGAACTCATTCTTGTGACTGGGGAGAACGTTTGATTGAAGTGGATACCGGGTTGTTGTTTGAAACCCTGGGCAACTAATATGGCTTTCCTTTTCTCAAGCGTTCCATCAGAATTATACTTGTTTTTCAGAACTATTCTGCTTCCTATAATCTCTTGATCCTTAGGTCGTTCAACGAGTTGCCATGTATCATTCTTGATGATCGATGTTATTTCTTTTTTCATAGCATCGTACCATTCGTTCGATTCGGGACCAGATAATGCTTGTTTCATAGATGTTTCGGAAAGAAATAAATACTCTGCACATTCGTCAGCTTCGTGTTCATAATGAACATGATATTCTTTCCTTGGTCTACCTTTTCTGCCAGTTTTCACCAGTCTTGGTCTACCACGGCCCCTTCTTGGTTCGGATGTTCCTTCTATTCTCTGGATATCAATTTCTTCTTCATCTTGTATATCCGTTACAATATTCTCATCGGTTTCGGTATCAATTACTGGTTCTATGTCAATAAGAGGTTTGATTTCTATTTCTGCGATGTTAGGATGACATTCAGTTCGATTGTCTAAAACGAACTCTTCGTATTTATCGATTTCAGATATATCATTCTCGATAAATTTAACATCACGAGAAATTTCAATTTCATTTTCGCTTGGTATCCAGACTCTGAAACCTTTCGATTGTTCCGAATATCCTAAGAAAATACCCTCCTTACAACGAGAATCGAACTTTCCTTTATTCGGTGTTCTATTCAGACAAAATATCTTGCAACCAAATTCTCTGAAATGACTGACATCAGGTTTATTTCCTGTCCAAACTTCGTAAGGAGTCATTCCATGGAGAATTTTGCTGGGACAACGATTCCGAATATAGTTCGCTGTATTCACAGCTTCAGCCCAAAACATTGCTGGTAGACCGGACTGCATCAACAGGCATCTTGCAGTACTCACGAGAGTGCGATTTTTTCTCTCTGCTATACCATTCTGTTCTGGATTGTAGGGAACAGTTAAACGTCTTGAAATGCCGTTCTTTTTCAACAAATTATCGAATAAGTTGCTCATATACTCCGCCCCATTATCAGACTGGAAATATTTTATTCTCTTTCCCTTCTGATTTTCAACGAGCGTAAAATATTCTTCAGTTTTCTCTAGTAGTTCATCTCTTGATCTCATGAAACGTACTTCGCACCAACGTGATGCATCATCTATAAATTCAACAAAGTAATTAGCCTTGCTCTTGGATTCGATTCTCATTGGACCACAGATATCGGAATGTTCTATATCAAGAATTTCGGTTTTCCTTTCAGATTTCCATGGAAACGGGGTTCTTGTCATCTTTCCGCGAATACAGATGTCACATTCCAAATCACTGTCAACGTTTTTTATTTTCAGACCGATGATGCTCTGTTTGCGTCCTGCATCTACAAGGTCTTTCACGTTCAAATGTCCAAGACGCCTGTGCCATAGTTTGATAGTTTCTAGTGGAGTTCTCGTGATGAATGCCGAATCGTTCCCATAACACGATGATTGTTCATTTTCGCGTACGTAGTATAAATCACCTATTCGATCAGCAATCAACTTCACATCACCATCAGAATCCATGACTAAAGCAATATTTTCTTTGAATAATACTTCATGGCCGTTGCTGGTTACTTTGCTTACTGACATAAGATTAGTTCTCAAATCAGGAACATGCAATGTATTATTCAGATGAATATTTCTACTTTCACCGAAAACGTCAACAACGAAGGAAACAGTACCTTTAGCGACAATTTCAGTCGATACATCATTCGCTAATTTCAGTTTGCCGCGTTCGGAATCAGTAATGTTAGTAAATTTATTCAGTTCATTACATAGATGAGACGTAGCACCACTGTCCAAGCGCCAACTTTGTCTTTTATCAGAAGAATTCGTTTGAAAAACTTCGGATATACACAAACAAATGTCTTCGGCACATTCAGCTGACGAACAAGAGACAAGAGTGATGCGAACCGAAATTTCCATCCTTCTTAGTATTGTGACGATTTCCATTAAAATTTCTTTTATTCACTAACATCGCGTTCTGTATTCTAGCGCGTGTTTCATTCTTTCGAGCCTCATATTCCTCGACAATCTTCGCTCGAAGAATATCCGGTGATGGCAATTCGTCACGAGATTCAATGGCGCATCTAAAATTTTCGAAACTTGAAGGTAGACTATACAGGAGCATGATCGCCAGTAGATCGGGATTGATTTCAACTTCCATTTCAGACAGCTTGTCAACAGAATCGAAGAATTTGTTGATGTGTTCACGCACGTCGTTCCCATCTTCCATTCGTTGTAGGGTTAACTGTTTAAGAAGTGTCGCCTTCCTGGCAGGTCCCTTGGACTGATAAATTCCCTCCAGTTTCAGCCATATATCTCGCGATGTAATACAGCCTTTCACTTGCTTCAGTTCGGAAGGACTGATAGACAAAATTATGTCCGATTTTGCTTTGCTATCATTTTTCTTCCAATTATTCACTAGTTGTTCAGATGCAGCATCATTGGGTGTTAATATCGGTTTCTTACATTCACCGTTCACATAAACCCAAGCATCATTCTTCACTAGTAGTGCTTCCATCTGCATTTTCCATGTATCGAAATTCTCTTTATTAAGAGTTTCAATTTTCGATACATTGGATGAATTCATTTTTGTCCGCAAACAGTAACTACTGAACCTA